GTACTTCTTGGGCAAGTAGAGTGTGTGTGTGTGTGTGTGTGTGTGAGAGAGAGAGAGAGAGAGAGAGAGAGAGAGAGAGAGAGAGAGAGAGAGAGAGAGAGAGAGAGAGAGAGAGAGAGAGAGAGAGAGAGAGAGAGAGAGAGAGAGAGAGAGAGAGAGAGAGAGAGAGAGAGAGAGAGAGAGAGAGAGAGAGAGAGAGAGAGAGAGAGAGAGAGAGAGAGAGAGAGAGAGAGATATGTATGTTGGCAAAGTGGACACAAGATGAATGTGGAGAGAGGCTTTGACGCAGTTGGCTAATATAGGAAATGATGATTGTAAGACTATGGATACAAGATAATTATCTTGTATTTCTTATTTCAGGAAATCCTAGTTATAACTAGTTATTTATAAGAATCCAAAACTTATGAGAAACATAAAAAATGATAACTAGTTTTTTATCTTATCATGCTTGAAAGTTAAATTATCAGATAAAACAAATCATTATTTGTTGATTCTTAACTTATTTATATAAAGCTATCTAGATCTTGCGAAGTTATCTGAATTTCAATGAATTATTGATTGAAATATAAAAATTAATTCTCCCTCCTTCAGATTTTTCCTTATTTTCCTTTTAAGCAGGAATTGGCCTTGTACAAATTTAAAATAGAATTTTGCATTTGAATTCTATTGTTCTTGTTGCCTCGTAGCCCTTGTAGCTTTTATGGTACCAATTTAACCTTTGGGCTTAGGCTTGATTTTGTGCTTGCAATAATCTCAACAAATTTGATATTTTTGCCACTTAGATCATGGCTCTCTTTTTTTATTTTCATTTGCTTCTATAAATGCTTAGAGCTGTGATTATACTATTAATGTGTCACTTGTGTTGGATTGGTTTATAGTGCTGTTTCATCTCAAGGCCTTGCCTAGATTGGCAAGGTACTAGTCTCTTTGACTATGTCATGGGCTAGCAAGGCGGTTTCTTATTTTGCTCTTTATTGAGTTGTTAAGAGGTTTTCTTTTTCAAACCTTCCTTTTGAGTGCTCCTTTCTTATTTGACTCATCTCTTGAGCTCCTAGAAGGGTTGGCTGGTGTTTAAGATGAAGGATCCTGTGGCTATGGTAGTTGATCACTTTGCGCATGCTGTGTTGTTTTCAAATTATTGCTATAAAGTATATATTTATTTCCTAGTTTTACAAACTTCATTTGTTTTATAGAAATTTTTAGGATTATATACACATATTGAACTAAATTAAAATCATCAATGTTTTGCCCAATGGTGATAATTTTTACATTGTATTGATCTTTTTTAATACACCTGAAAGATTAAGGGCTGTGGTATGGGTTTGTGTGGTATATAGCCCTAATTCCTAAAGTTGAGCAAGGAAATAAAGTTTTTGCCACCACTACGGTTTAAAATAAAATCGAGGGGATTTACATACCTTGCAATTCTTATCTATTTACTGTTTTCGTTCGTTTTTCTCTTTTTATTTTAAAAGGAGTCGTCAGCCTGTCGATCGTCGTATACTTTCTTTTCCCGAATAAATCTCTCTTTCGGGTCATGTGAACGACCTGAGGAAGAGAGGAACCGGAAAAGAACGACATACAACAAAACGACAAACAAGAGAAAACACAAAACGCGGAGAGCCTACGTGCGGTACACCTCACAAGGATAGGTTGAGAGTGTTCACCCAAACAAGATCAGGCGGAAGCACCTTAAACCAATATTCTCGGAAGAATGCCTACGTAAACTATCCAAAACCAGAGAGTCAGGTGTATGTGGCTGTTCTGGGGTCAAGAGCACTCCTAATGGGACGTATCCCACTTTGTTAATTACATCTTGGGAGGTACCCGAGAATACTCTCGATAAAAGGAGTTTTGTTTGGATTATCGTAAACTTGGGGCAATATGTACTCGAAGGAAGGTTATTCTGTGTGGGAACAATCCCCGTGCTTCAAAGCTCGTGCTAAGCCAACAGGCTGAGAGTCTCTTACATCCTAAATGGGTAGTGGCTGATCGGCATACAGGGCCCACGAAATAACCTAAATCATTTTGACGGGGATATCCCAACACGTCAAAGTACGACCGGGCCAAAGGGCAAAGGACAAATTGTCGTATCCCAAATGGGCGGCAGCTCATATGCATCGGGCCATCAAGGTGATAACAACGAAGTTAAGGAGGGACAGGGCTCAAAGGGGCTCAACAAAAGGAAGGTAGAGTGATCCTACAAGGTAGATGTAACTGGGTCGAGGTACCACATACCCCTCATACACAAATACTAGGACCCTAAGTTTACCTAGTCGTGAAGGTAGTCGACCCAATACATCCTGAAATTCCCGGTCAGCAATCTGTGAATTGCATCTTCCACGGGAGATCCAGTAGCTCTAAGTGGAGCTCCAAGAGGTGGGACTTATACCTGCCGAAGTGGCAAGGATGCCTCAGAAAAGAAAAGAAAGTGGAGGTTCAGGTATAGAGCTGGAAACGCTCCAAACAAAAGGACTTATACCCCGTATGGGTCGGAGAGTCTTTAAACACCCTAAGCGCATTAGACAACCACCTAAAAAAGGTATGCTGGGCCAGTCAAGTTGAAGAAGCACGGGGGCTTCTCCTCGGGACATGCAAATATGAATGCAGTTATGAGCGGTTCTTAAGTATTGTGGAGGCCCTATTAATACAAACAAGAAAGTAAAAGTTACAAATTTTAAATCCTGAATATTTTAATCCTAAATTTTAATTATCTTTAATATTTTATTTAGAATTTTATAGAAAATTACAATTTTATGGTCTTTAATGAGCCTAGATTATATCATGAAATCTTCATCAAGAAATACTAGATAAACCACAGAAAGAAACATGGATAACACACATGCAAGTGCAGACATACAACATGATGCAAAAAGCCAAACAAGCCAAATAAAATAATAAACAGGTCGGTGTCGCTGTGTCGGCAACATATCCTAGAAAAGAAAAAAGCGGTCGGACTTCTCATATACATGCCCGGTTTTAATTTTATACATCAATATAAAATATATAATTAAGAGACTAGGCACGAGCATCTGCTCCTGGTCTCCTTCACGTGGTTGTCGCGCTAACGTCTCGGAACCCGTGCTCGTATCTTATTTCTGCTACAGGACTCTCCTAGACTTAAAGTCTTGGAACTCGTGCCCGTATCTTATTTCTGTTACGGACTCTCCTAGACTTTAAAAGTACATAGAGAAAAGAAAAAAAAACTCGATCCTGCATGAAAACAAGTGTCAGCGAGAAAGCTCACATGCAAATAACGTATCATGAACCATGCCTTAAAAGTGTGGGAGCTAAATAACAACTGCAAGTAAATTGTTAGAAATCATTACTTGCTCCCCCGTAGCGGTACCCGTGTGTGTTCATATAAACAGACATGACTCCCTGCAGAAGAACACCCTAACACACTGCCACACATATGCAGCATGCAGTCACACTACAAACTTAATGCAAAAGAAAGACATCTGGCTATGACAACCATTAACGAAAAGTGCATCAACCTAGTATCTAAGTGTGGGGTAAGTTTTGGTGTGGTATGACTTTGACGGGGTCACTTTACTGGTCCCATCCTAAGGATCCAAAAAAATCTAAAGAGTGCCACAAAAGGGAATGACACTAGTTAGATTCATTGGATTCTTAGCACAGTCATACTCATGTCAGTCCCGATGACTCAACTCGCATTGTTCATTGGGATTGACCCAGCGAGCAATGCTCGTTAAGGCATCGCGACCAACACGGGAGCCACTCTCCTAACGAGTCTGACTCGCTATCCATGCAAAAATGCAAATGCAAATGCAGACAATCAGTGATGAGTGTACCATGGGGGGCAGTGACTCAGGAAAAGATAGGCATGCTGTGGTGAAGAAAGGGGTGTCGAGACGATAGTGACCAAAAGTGATAGGCGTGTCGTAGTGACAACGATCTGAAGTTGTGGCGAGAGGGCAGTGATCAAAAGAGATGGGCGTGTCGTAGCGGCAGTGACCCGAATGTGTGTCAAGGCGGCAGTGGCCCGAATGTGTGTCAAGGCGGCAATGACCGAAGGTGTGGGCGTGCCGTGATGACAGTGACCCGAAGAAGTGCAACGCAAGCAAATGATTATTACAAGATGCAACATGCAAGCAGACAAACATGTGATATGATGCAAACAAAAAGACAATAAGATGCAGAAGCATAGA